TCACCACTTCAATCTCTTGTAATCTTTCTGTGTCTTCTTCCACATAGATCGCTGAGACTTGAGTGGAAAGGTCGGGTAACAGAACCTAATTTAGGCTGAGGGATTCACCTATTCACTGTCTGTGTATTATACAGCTGTGAGTCTCTGTGCTGACTCCCATATACTACAGGAAGAAGTTTCTCTGATGAGGTTTGATCAAGGCACTGATCAACAGGAATTACATATATCATTAGGAGTCATTCCATTACAGTATTCTTTTAGCAGAATAATAATACTAAAGTTTCTATGAGTCATGTGATCTACATAGTCCCATGCCTTTTGCTACTTCAGCAGTGTCAGGTGTGGTTTGCATCTCATAAACTGACCCTTACGTCCAATCAAGGTAGTTGGTTATCCCCATAACATTGTGCCACAATTGCACCAGTATACCTTGCATACCATTCACTTTTGTGGGTTCCAGGATTTACATCTGGGAAGTATTGGTGATTGTCTTTCTCCTTAGGTAGTGTGCAAAGTACCTTTCAGCATCATGAATGCAAGTCACTAGTTAGGATAGTTAGGAACCAGCTCAACAACACTGGAAAGTGTCATAAGCAATAGAACCATTCAGGTGTGGGGTAGCATTCAATAACTTTGGTACTATTTTGTGATGTTTGCTCATTCTATGTGACCCTTTTGTCTAATGACTCAGGAAAATGTAACCCATTCTTGGCACAGGTTGTACTTGGTGGCATAGTATGTCTATTTGGGACGTTGTCTCCTGCAGTATATGTGGCTCCATTTAGATTCCTTTCATATGTGTATGTATTTTAGGAAGCTTCTACAGTAGCAGGTGTCATAAGGCTTTTCAAAAGGACTTTAGTGTCAGTTATCTTTCTTCATAAACCTCCCTTACCCTTGTATCCCATCCCATTGCCATTTGATCCTGCAATTCTAGGTTCCCTTTTATTCTCCACATGATCCATCTTCTATTCATTCTTCCTTGGGAGCTCTTCTCCTTCTCCCTGATCCTATCCTTTGTGGGTATTCAGTTTGTAGCACACAGATTGAAAACTAATAAGTTAATATCCAAACATAAGAGAAAATGTATAATATTTGTCTATGTCATCTGGGTTACCTCCCTGAGGAATATTTTTCTCTAGTTTGATCTATTTACCTGAACATTTCTTAGTTGTGTTTTTTTAAGCTGTACATAATATTCCATTGTGTAAATGTACTGTTTTCTTTATCCATTTGTCAGTTGTTCTGATACAGCGCTTTTTTTGTTGTTGTTGTTGTTTTGTTTTGTTTAGTTTTTCTGATTGCTGGCTGTTAGGAATAGAGCAGAAGTGAACCTGGATAAGAAAATACGTTTGCACTAGAATGCAGAGACTTTTGGGTATATGCCTAAGATGGTATATTTGCACCGAGAGGTAGTTTAATTCTGTTTACACTCCCATCAGCATTAAACACCTATTCCCCTTTCTCCATATCATCTCCATCATGTGCTATCATTTGTTTAATTTATCTTGCTCAATAGGATTGAGGCAAAGTCAAATTTCAGATTGTTTTAATTTTTATTTTCCTGATTGCTAAAAGACAGTAAAAGATACCAAGGAAACAAGGCCTTCTAGACACAGCAGGAATTACACACGTAAGAGCTTCAGACTGGGGCAGTACGCACAAGGGCCTGCACAAGTTAAGCCAGACAGGTTCCCAGTGCTGAGAATAGAAGTGAACACAAGCTCCCATCCCTAAAACAGAAGCTATCTCCAATTCATAACTGCTTGCAAAGAAAAATGTTTTATTCTTTAATATACTATCACTAGTTATACAAACCACAATAAAGGATAGCCCCATCTCAGAGTAATTTCAAATATAAAACTAACTCAATGGTACTTTTGCATGATTTTTGTCTCATAGTTCTCTATCTGGGCTTATTTTCATTTTGAAGTTATTTTTATTATTTATTGGCATTTACAATATTGTGTTTTTATGAGACCTTTTTGTATCTTTTGGAATGTATGTGTTTCTGGTGGGGTTTTTTTTTTAGTTTTTTTCTGTTTATTTTAACCTATACTGCTCTGTTTGTGTTTATTGTATTCTGTTTATTAGATGCCTGTTTGTTTTCTAATGAGAAATAAACAAAGTGTATGGATTTGGGTGGGTGAGGATGTAGGAAGTATCTGGCAGTTGTTCATCATGGTGGAGGTGAACTGAGATCAGAATATACTGTATGAACATTCTGTTCAATTAAAAATAGGGTCTTTTTTTAAAAAGAAGAAGCAAATAAAAAGCTCAATGAAATCAAGAACAAAGACAGAAATTAAAGAGGATAAATGTCTGAACTATGACCAAGAAAGCAGAATTGAATATTTGACAGAAATGACAAAAACTATCTGAAATTTGAGAACATAGTTAAGTTAGGACACAGAAATCCTGAAGGGGACTCCAGATAGTGAAGATGGGACTGAAGACCCAACAACACACACACAGAAAACTCTTGGGAAAGTCTTACAAACAGAATGAATGAAGCAGAAGATAGAAATCAAGTCTTGAAGATAAAATAAAAGACCTAGTCCAAATAAGACAAAACAGGAAAAACTAAAAACAAAAACCGCAAACAGGGAAGGAACACATAGGAAATATGGGACACAAGGGAGAAACTAAGCCTTCACATTACAGGTCTAAGTGAGGGAGAAGATTCTCAAATTAATGGCATTGACTGTGTCTTTAACAAAATCACAGGGAAAAAACTTCTACAAACTAAGAACGGCACATCCATACAGATAAGAGGAGTACACAGAACACCAACTGGACAGAATCAGAAAAGACAATCCATGCCATATCATAATTAAAGCACTAAGTTACAGAACCAAGGAAGTGATTTGAGACATTCAGGAAAATAAATTCAAGTAACATATAAAGGAAAACCCATCGGAACAATAGCCAATTTATCTATAGAAACTATGTGAACCAGAAGAGTTTGGAATGATATAATCCAAGGCCTAAAGGACTGTAATAGTGAAAGTAGAGTCATACACTCCACAAAACTATGTGCAATGACTGTATTTTTCATGATGAAAACAACATAAAAATCATACCCAAGAAACCAAACATAAGGAAATACAGAAACATTGTTTTGGGCTCAGTACAGAAATGAGACAGCATAGAGACTGTGGTAGAAGACATAATTATTAAAATACGAAATAAACTGAACCCAAATGACACCAAAAATCAACAACTGACCACAATTAACACACATATTTCAACAGTAATTTTAAATATCAGTAGAATCAGTTCATCTGTCTGTCAGTCTCTCCCTCTCTCCTTCCCCTTCAATGTCCTTCTCTTCTCTTTCAGTCTCCCTCTCCCTGTCCTCTTTTCTTCCATTCTCCCTCTCCCTTCTTCAGTGATTATTTTTAAACTTGTGGACAATTTTATTAGAGCTTAAAATAACAACCCAGAGAAAGCAAGCTGTAGATCTTGGCAGCTTCCCTGAATATGAGAATGAAGGTGGGAAAGAAAAGAAGTCATGAATTTGAGTTAAGTCAGCATGGCGATCAGATGTACAGTAGATGTGGTGATTTGAGTGAGAATGTTCCCACAGGTTCTGTCATTTGACACTTGGTCCTAAGTGAGTGGTGCTGTCTGGATAAGGCAAGGAGGTGTGATTTTGCTGGAGGAGGTAGTCATTGCAATTTCAAAGCCTTGCATACTAGACATTTTCCTGCTTGACATTTAAGATGTGGGCCACTGGCTTCTTCTGTTGCCACGCCTACCACTTCCCCAGCACCATGGATACTTACATAAGCCCATGAAACACTCCTCCTTCTATGAGATGCCATGGTCACGGTGTTTTAGGAAAGCAACAGAAAAGTAACCAATACAGCAGACAATCAACCACGTGAGATGGAGAGGAGTGTGAGGGGAAGAGTAAGGAAGTCCAAAGCACCAGAAAAAGTAGGCTTTAGGTTCTGGTCAGCATCAGAAAGAAAGAACCAAATAGGAAGAAAAAGAAAAAGTTATGCTATTCTAAGTAAGGACTCAGGAATTTTGGTAAACTCAATTGAATATCCTAGAAGATTGCAGGACCTGCTGCTGCAGTATTCTGGCCCATGAGTTTGGCTTCAGAAGTTTCTTCAGGAAACTTTAATTCTGCTGGTCATCTCCCTGAAAACCTATTCAAAAGAATGGAGCCAAGATCCTGGCAAAACAGGAGCCTTTTTTAGGAATTTTGACTTTTTTGTTTGTTTCCTTTGTTTATTTCTGTACAGAGTTTCTTGTAATTTCCGTGGTTATTTTATAACCTAAAGTGAGATTCCAAAGATGGCCTTGGTGTGTAGGAAGGTTGACCTCAATGTGGATATGGCAAGGTCATGAGAGCAGTTTGGCAGAGACTAAACCACATGGTGGTTACTCTGTCCTCCCTTCAAACTCTCTGGGTAGACTCACTAAGAAACGACGGAGTGACCAGAGAGACATGGAGAAGTTCACATTCATTCATTGCTCAGCCCTTGTCACTGTTTTAGATTATTCGTTTCCCTGGCAAGAGGCAGCTCCAACCACATTGCCTCCTTAAATGTTCTTACACTATGCTTCTTGTGAATTTGCTGGAGATACAAAATAATTTGATCATGAGACAAGAAAGCAATCTTGTGAAGAACATGGTGAGTAACAGTGAGAGCCTTAGACCCACTGCTCCAACTTGAAAGAGAATATTCTCACCTCACCTGTATGCACATCACTTTTGACTTTTACATAGCCATTATTACTACAGAGCAGAGAACTCTATACAATCCCTGTCTTTTCCCTATTTCTCCAGGAGTTTAGGAGGAACTGCTGGACCTATGGTTTATTTTCTTGAGTATAAGCAGAAAACATCCAATGACTCAGATAGCTAAGAACTTCAGATGTTCCTTCTCACAAACATAGGCCTTGGTAGCAAGAGAGCAAAAACAGTTTCTGTCCTGCTTCCTCATTTATCTGGGTCACTGTGTTCATCCATTGCTATCACCTACACCACAGTAATATTTAGCTTCATCTTCAGGATGGGTGTTGGAGATGCTTAAGTAGTGATGAGGCCCAGAGCTGGAGCCAGAGAAGCGGTCAGGGATCCCATCCCCCTTGCTGTAGCTTCCATCACTCTGAAGACGCATCAAATGCTTAGGAGCCTTGTCTGGATGTTGCTGGTACCAAACAATGTTGTTGGTGCTGTTCTGACTACTCAAGGTGCATGTGAGTTTGGCTGAGTCTCCCAGGGAGGCAGAGTCTGAGGGTGACTGAGTCGGCACAGGTTGGGAGAAAGACCCTGAAAATAGAGAAACACATTATGTCCATGCTAAGAGAAGAGGACAGAATGTATCTACTGTCACATGGTTTCCCTGAACTGGGATCAGGGTGTGGCTGACTCCTGACCTGTACAATGAAGGAGGAAGAAGAGGAGAAGAGTCCAGGCCATGGTGCAGACACCACTGAGCTCGGCTGAGACAGATATGGTGCAGGTCTCTCTAGTCCTTTAAGAATTCCCAGAGAATGGACAGGGACCTTCATGCAAATTTTTCTTAGTCAGCCAAATCCCTTCTCAGGTGTGTGTGCCATCAAAAGCCTGGGTGTCATTTCCTGCCTGACGCTGCCAAGGGACCACAGTGTCCCCACTGCTGGGCATGTTGAGTCCTGAGCAGACACAAAGAGACAGATGTTTGTGATGTCATCTGAGAGTCTCCAGACTCTTCAGTGTCACCTACAGACCCCTTTGAGCAGGTTCAGGTCTACGATGTCCGTGTCCATGTGACTTTCCCCAGGCCGTGATCATCAAACACTTTCTGATCAAGGTCAGAAGTTCCTGCCTTCTCTGTGCATAGTATGTAGACTTGAATTCATGAGGAACTCCTTATCCAGGGGCTTCTCCCATACAGACTGAGGGCACAGATATATCCTCCATGAGCCCCTCCTCAGATTGCACAAGAAGCCAACCCCCTGCATGGTTCCATTCACATAAACCCCCTGCATGGTTCCATTCACATACTGGTGAATATTGGTGTCTAGAAAGAATACTATTATATTACACAACTCTCTTAATACTTTAGAAATACAAAGTATTAGAAAATCACAAAGCAAAACAAAACAAAAAGTGCATATACTAGAAAGGAAAATAAAGCTTGTCCTCAATTAAGGATTAGAGAGGGTCAGTGAAGAATGACTGTGTGTGATGGCTTCCAATGAAACTAGTGGAAACTTGCCTAATACTTAGCTGACATAAAAATCATATCTAACTGGCATGGCTTTAGGGAGATGGATTTTCAGATATGAGGACAGCCATAAATTTACACAAGAGTTAATGAATCAAAATAGAAGTCATCAGTGAGATTGGGCAAGAGCAAGAGGGACAGCAGGTGGGTTGCTGGAGTCTGCTTCAGGTCACACATGTTTAAGGAAGCTGCACTACATGATTTTCCTTGTCAAACCCTCTCCTCCAGAATCAGGGAATATGCACAAGAAGAGGTGGAAACATCATAAGAGCCAGAGGTCATAGATGACCCCAACAAAAGAGCATCTTCCAAACACAACTGGACTGATCCACATGGGAACTCACAGAGACTATGACAGCATACATAAGAACAGCACAGGTTCAAACCTAATAAAAATCCCAGCTTTGAAAAAAGGAAGTGGACAAAACTTCCACTGTTAGCCATGCAGTTATTGTAACAGGTAAAGTCTGAAAAAGGGAGAGTCAGTTTTCTCCAATGCAGTATCACTAGCAATATCAACCACACTCTAGGGAAGGCCTCATGTCCAGGAATAGTTGGCTAACACAGAACAGATTCCACGGTGTTTATTTGTGTGCACATTTTGTATTATTTTATTTTGTCTGAATGCTTTTCTTTTTTCAGTTTCTCGATGTATGGCCAACTTGGCCTGCATAGAGTGCTCTAGGACAGCTGAAGCTACATAGTGAAATGCTGTCTTGAAAAAAAGTTTTTTCCAGAAAGGGTTTCTCTGTGTAGCCATGGCTTTCCTGGAAACCAGGCTGGCCTCAAACTCACAGACAACTTCCTGACTCTGCCTTCCGAGTGCTGGGATTAAGGGAATGTCCCGCCACTGTCAGGCACCAAAATATTTTTAATAAAGTAATAAAACACTTTAGACAAAATGTTGACACAGACAATGAGAA